CTCACCGGGCGATTTTTAATACACTATATCGGATTCGGATGGCATGGTGGAAAACGCGGGTATGTGTAGCGGGTACCGGGTACGTTTTCTGTATTTTGCCAAACAATTTCAAGGCTAAAAGATCCCGGTAAAATCCGTTATGGATTTATGTTGTTAAAATGGCCGAACAATCTTTCTTCCTTCAAAGATAGTTTTAAAGTATGTATAATTTGAATAAAACAGTTTAATTTGAAATACGCTTATTTTAGATATCTTTAGCACATCAATTTGTTGCAGTATATTGTATTTTTTTCTAGTTGCGCGGTTACTTTGACGGGAAAAGCAAAGAAAACAGCACTGCATTCAGTGAATATTATAGCCACCTTGCTATAGACAAAATGACGTAACGCATAGCGCCAGAGTGGCTGCTACATGTGTTTTCTCACTAGCGCAGGAAGTCTTTAATGCTGCGTGGCAGACAAACCGGCGAGAAAAAATCGCACTTGCAGGCTTGAACTTTTAGTTCGCTCATTCATTAAACCAGTCGTTGGCTTATTCATGAAGATGTCTTTTACTATAAAAAGTTTAAAAAATGCAATGCCACGTAGGGAAATCTCCAAAGATTTACCATCATTCAATTATGAAAATGTAGAGTCATAAAGGGAACAGATTGGCCATGGAGCGTACGGAATGGTATGTAAGGGTAAATGCAATAGTGAGGTTGTTGTTATTAAAAAGCTTTCGGGAGAATCAGCGAACGAAGAGAATTGTTTTGTGAAAGAAGCAAGATTGATGTTTTCACTGAATCACGAAAACATCGTGACATCGGTACATAAGATTGTTTTTCTGTTGATTTATAGTTCGTTTTCGACAACTATAAATATGCGTGTAGGCAAATTATACGGTCGTATTAATAAACTTTAACAATATAAACTAAACGCCGAACGTAGGACAAACAATTGTAAATTGTAATTAAGCATGCGAGGTTTTTATCAACATGAACGACACGCGTACAAATCCAGGGGCCAGTTGTAGTATCAAAGGCGTTTAGTTTAAACGGTGGATAAGCAAAAATTTAAAAACATTCCTATTCATCTTGTAAATAACTAAACTTAAATTTTATCAACAAAATGTGTAGTTTTAAGCATAGTTGTTATGTTTAGACAGAAAAGTTATGTTTGCTTGTAGTCTATAGTTCATAGATTTGATTGATAATTTTGACTTACCGTATTTACTCATTTGAGCGCCGCCCCCGATTGAGCGCCGCCCCCGAAAGAGCGCCGCATTAATTATTTTCCTGCGATTGCCTCTTTCAAAGCAACGAATTTACGTCTTCTGATATCGGGGAGACATATCCAACAATGGTTACGATGCAGCAGTTGGACTCGGATCATGAAGAGGACAGTGACATTGATATTTTGTAAACTTGTAAGCAGTGTAAAAACTTTCCGCCGTCAAAATGGGGACATTTTGTGACAAAAACATTTAAAACTTGTTTATTTTATTGTTAAAAGTTCTTGTCATAATTCACAAACAAAATATTTTTTTAAAGAGTGCCGCCCCCGATTGAGCGCCGCCCCCAAATGAGCGCCGCATCTGAAGCTCTGAAAATTTAAAGAGCGCCGCGGCGCTCCACCGTTTCAGCTAAACGCCTTTGATACAACTGGCCCCTGGATTTGTACGCGTGTCGTTCATGTTGATAAAACCCTCGCATGCTTAATTACAATTTACAATTGTTTGTCCTACGTTCAGCGTTTAGTTTATATTGTTAAAGTAGTTTATTAATACGACCATAGTTAACACGTCGCTGAATTAATCTTGCAGTTTAATTAATGTACAAACATTTGCCTACACGCATATTTATAGTTGTCGAAAACGAACTATAAATCAACAGAAAAACAATCTTATGTACCGATGTCACGATGTTTTCGTGATTCAGTGAAAACATCAATCTTGCTTCTTTCACAAAACAATTCTCTTCATTCGCTGATTCTCCCGAAAGCTTTTTAATAACAACAACCTCACTATTGCATTTACCCTTACATACCATTCCGTACGCTCCATGGCCAATCTGTTCCCTTTATGACTCTACATTTTCATAATTGAATGATGGTAAATCTTTGGAGATTTCCCTACGTGGCATTGCATTTTTTAAACTTTTTATAGTAAAAGACATCTTCATAAATAAGCCAACGACTGGTTTAATGAATGAGCGAACTAAAAGTTCGAGCCTGCAAGTAGCAGCCACTCTGGCGCTATGCGTTACGTCATTTTGTCTATAGCAATATTCACTGAATGCAGTGCTGTTTTCTTTGCTTTTCCCGTCAAAGTAACCGCGCAACTAGAAAAAAATACAATATAATGCAACAAATTGATGTGCTAAAGATATCTAAAATAAGCGTATTTCAAATTAAACTGTTTTATTCGAATTACACATACTTTAAAACTATCTTTGAAGGAAGAAAGATTGTTCGGCCATTTTAACAACATAAATCCATAACGGATTTTACCGGGATCTTTTAGCATTGAAATTATTTGGCAAAATACAGAAAACGTACCCGGTACCCGCTTCCCGGTACCCGCTACCCGGTATCCGCTACCCGGTACCCATACCCGCGTTTTCCACCATGCCAATCGGCAAGCCTTCCGTAGTGGCGCGAAAAAGCACTTATCCGATACGGAATGTACAACTTTTTTTTTCTTTTTTTTTATTTACGCCCGTAAAAAATATCAAGTTATTTACATTTATTTTTCTATTGTTTTGGATAGGCTAGGAGCCTTCTAGAAACCTACTAGGCTTTTTAATTAAGACCTCTATAGACTATATTTACATTGTTTCATTCTATTTAGTCAGTTCGAATAATATATTAGATTGAACAAAGATAAAAGCGTATATAACGAGTATAAAATAAAACATTAACATGCATATAAACATAATTATATATATTCGAAGTGGAGGATACTATATATGTATATTTACAGTAAAGAAAGTGATAATATATTTTAAACCATTATACATCCATTGTTGAATATATAATGATTTTTAACTTTTTTAACTTTCAGAAGCTGAGCGAAACAACATCTCCCTGTTGCAATAATTCCTGTGAAAATAGAGTTCCTAATAGGTACGGGTAGCGGGGTAGGTGTTTTTTCACGTTGCTACGGAGAGTATCCTGTAGCCTGAAATTTAGAAGGAGGAAACAGACTGCGAACAGGCTTTACCTATAAATTGTCATAGTGAATTGATACATACAGATCTAGATAAATACAGGAGGCAAGCTGGGGGGCTGCAGTGGCGGCGCCAGGGGGGGGCAAGGGGGGGCAAATGCCCCCCAAAATTATTTTTTGCCCCCCCATTTTGCCCCCCCTCAAAAAAAAATATTAGTCACTAAGAGCGACTAAAGGCTACACAAGCGTTCTGTCGTTATCGGAAAATGTATGGCTTATAAGTTGTCATTACTCATTAGTGAATGCGCGTATACATGAAACTGTTTTTTAGAGTTTCAATATTAGTTTGTAAATCTCTGAATGGTAAAACTTGCCAATACTCCAATAATACGTTTCAATAAAAGACAAAAAAGCTTTAGTTTTGAAGAGTTAAATTCTCAAACGTGTAAGGCAATAATAAGATGAAAGTATCACGAAATTATTTGAATAAACCACATCGCATATATGGGGGGCGAATGTCCTAAAGAGGGGCGATATTCCTAGGGTATTCGCCCCACCCCCCTGGGAGGCGATATTCCTAGGATATTCGCCCCCGGGGGCGATATTCCTAGGAATATCGCCACGTTTTGAGGGGGGGGCGAATTTCCTGGGGGGGCGACCTTTTTAAAAATTCTATCTTGCCCCCCCAAAATTTGAGTTTGCCCCTCAAATGCCCCCCCAAATTTGGAAGCCTGGCGCCGCCACTGGGGGGCTGACCACATGTTCTCATGATTTCTGAAACCTGTCTCAGATTAATTGCGTCGTTTACTATTAAAACACACTATCAAAATAGCGGACTTCTTTTGTTAATTTCCTTGCGTTGACTTGTAGTATTAATGTATTATTGTGATTAGTGATGGTAACCAAATAACCAAATAACCAATCACCCTTGCACCACGGACATGCAGAATCATCATAATTTCTGTCCTTGCGTTAATTCTTGGTCAACTCCATGGTACATAATAGTGAATCAGATAAGAGGTATAGTAATTAATTAACTAGTTTTAAAATTTAATGCAAAATACGGCGAAATACAGCCGACAGCATCGAAGAAATTATCATTTTCGACTTATTATACTGTATATTCCTTTCTATTTTATATTCCTTTCTTTCCCCCTTCTATTAACTGTGGTACAGCCTACCGCCTACGCAGCTCTAATCCGCACGTATTGAATTACCTATATTTACATAATTATGCTTTTCGTGGTTTATTGTCTTATAGAGTTAATAACTAAGCAGTTAGCATAAATAATCCGTTTATATCAAAACACAACACTACATGACTCAAGCTAGCAACAGTGTAGCATGACAGAAACGTTAGTATCTTTACCTTGTATTTCTAGACGTAGTCAGACGCAATCATCAGAATATCGATCCACAGATCGACCAAACACTCAGACCAGGGATGCTTTGTCTCGACCGTCTACGTTAGGTAAGTCTGACTAAGAAACACTCAGCCGGCCACTTACTCAGTCTTACTGTATAATACCATGCATTATTCGTAACTGCAATACTTTGTTTGACTATATATTTGTATATACAACTATATTTTCCCCAAGGTTCAAATGAAACACGTGCAGACGAAAACCGACGAGAATGTCTCACATCGCTCTCGGCATTATACAGATCTTCATACAAGCCTTATCAGTTTACACATATGTATGGCACACATTATAACAAGAACTTTCAAGGCAGGTTTGCTCGACCACCTCAACCCGAAAGGTATAGTACATGAGATAATGGTTCTAAAGAAAAAGTATTATAATTATGACACCACGCATGTATACACATCAAAGAGCATGAAATTAAACGGAGTAAAGTCAAGCCTAAAGTTCTGATTTTTAGTTGGCAACAGTCAGTAGCACCGTATAGCACTTAACCCTCTTGTCTCCTTAGCAACGCGTTGTTTGGCATCAAGCTGATACTAAGCAACACCTGAAAAGTCCACGATATTCTGTCAGAATGTATATAGGCTTAAGTTTGTCTTAACTTATACATCACTCTATATTTTGGATTCGTCAATTGGTTTATGTATTAATATGTTTCATTTTATATTATCAAATTGTCGCCTATATATATATATATATATATATATATATATATATATATATATATATATATATATATATATATATATATATATATATATATATATATATATACAGAGATGATATTATAGATGTCTGGAAGCAAAGTTTGCCCAAGCTTCTGGATTTTACTGATTTTATCAACTCTCTGTATCTTACCATTAAATTTGAGTTAGTTTATTCGGAAAGAGTTAAATGTGTTGGACCTCACCTTACGCTTGGAGAATGGCTTTATTTCCACTGATGTTTATGCAAAACCTACAGATAGTCATTTATATTTGCCATACTCAAGTGCACATCCTATACAATGTAAGAATACTATCCCGTACGGAGTAGCCTTAAGAATTAAGCGAAATTGTTCGGACAATAGTGATTTAAGCAAGAGGTGTGAGGAATACAAAAGATATTTAGTTCGTCAAGAATATCCAAAATCATTAGTTGATAAGGAATTTAATAAAGCTTTAAAGGTGAATAGGAAAGATTTGTTGCATGCTAAAGTTAAACCTAAAAAGAAGGTTTATCCCTTTGTGACAGAATTTAATCCTAGGGCTCCTAACATCTCACAAATTATAAGTAAGCATAAGCACTTGATCTCCACACCTGAGTGGAAAGAAATTTTTCCGGACAAGTCTATAATAACTGCCTACAGAAGGCCAAAAAACCTTAAGGACATTTTAGCACCATCAAAGTTTGATAAGCAGCATGTGTTGGCAGAAAATCAGAGGCCAGGTTGTTTCAAGTGTAAGCGAAAATGTGATTTGTGTAATAATTTCTTGAAGGAGACTGACTGTTTTAGGAGTTTTAGTACCGGTCGGTCATACAAAATCAAACAAGAAATGAATTGTGGTACCACTAACATAGTTTATTTAATTTCCTGCAAAAAATGCAATGTTCGCAGTTGTTGGATCCACATCTACTGAATTTAAAGTCCGTTTTCGTTTTCGTTTTTTTTCGTTTTCGTTTTTTTTCGTTTTCGTTTTCGTTGTTTTTTTTACCACAAGTCAGCTATGCTTACGGATAAGAAAGTTTGTGAGATGGCCGTTCATTTTAATGAAAATAAACACGAATTTAAGGATTTGGAATTTGTAGCCATTGAAAAAGTTGACTTAGTGAATGGCGAAAATGCCAATAACCCTTTATTGACCAGAGAAGCATATTGGATGGCACAGCTGTGTACAATTAGCCCTTATGGCCTCAATAAGAGATCTGAACTTCGATCAAAAAATAGGATCCATTACAACTTGTAATAATTATTATAATTATAACTAGCAAGCCATATTATGGTAATTTTGATCCTACTATTGATCCTCATTAATTTGTTTACTATACATAATATGGTAATTTTGATCCTGCCAATGCTATAAAAGCTAGACATTGTTAAATTGTAATATAAACTGATGAAGGCAGAACTGCCGAAACGTTTTTAACTTTTAAGCTTTTTTTAGTATGTTTTAGTTTTTTTAATAAATTGATGGTCGAAGTTGCATAGTCTCTGATTTTTAAATTGATTATATATATATATATATATATATATATATATATATATATATATATATATATATATATATATATATATATATATATATATATATATATATAGTGAGATTCTACTCGTGATGTAATGTGTAAGTGTTTAGATCTTCTTTCGAGTATGAGCCGGGAAAGCAGAAAATTAATTCTACTTGACCACGGCTGGGAATCGAACCCGCAACCTTCGCATTTCTAGAACGGCGCTCTACCTTCTGAGTTACAAGGCCAAGCTGGGAACGACGTTATTTATTTGTGATGTTAATGACATGGACGAATTTCTTCCTTTCCATGCCTGGTGCCATCATAGTTAATATATATGACATGGTTTGGAAACCCTTTGTTTTAGGTGATTTTGTACCTTGTGCAGGGTCACGCTTTATCTTTCTATTGTTTGACAATAGTCAGTTCAGAAAGCTTGGCGAAGGGAATGGGTACCAAGTATTTGTTATGCCTACCAGGGCTATATCTGCATGACGGCATATTTTGGAAATAACGAAGTATTAGTGTATTACCACCATTTTTTTTTATTACCACCATTTTTTTGTATATATATATATATATATATATATATATATATATATATATATATATATATATATATATATATATATATATATATATATATATATATACAAAAAGAGAGAGAGATACATATACCGAGCAGGCCATATAATTAATAGATAAATCAGTCAATCAATAAATCATCTACAAATACACTCATGCATGAATAAAGTTCTGGTCAAAAGTTTCACGTCGACTTACTACTCACATCACACAAAGCAGGTCTGCAGGTGGTATACTGTGCCAGTTTAAAAGTGCACAATGTTGAACATTTTTAACGTACGGTACCTAGGCCTATTATTTTTTCATATTATATATTCTTGAATGATCTGTGACCATATTTTCCCGATTTTATTAGGCAGCCAACCGCAAGATACGCACCAATAAATTATTCATCTCTGAAGACAACCTACCAACAGGAATTTCGTGATAAAGAACCCATTGCAAAACCGTTAATTTTGCCATGTTCAAGACATAGGATGAATAAACCGCATCCTAATTTGACTAACACTTGGAAATATCCAAACAGCGTAAGTTAAAAACTGGTGCAGTATAGTAGTGTATATAAATGTTAAAGAATTAACATTGTCATTGAATTTTGATATAGTCATCTACCGCGTATATATGTATATCAGTGTCAACTATTCCGCAGTCTGATTGATATTGAGCTACTCACCGCATGTGGCTCATATACGACGAGCACTACGGAGTTACTTTGATTGCTACAAAAGTCAAAACATCTGTATAAAATATCTCAACTTTTCTGTCAGCAATACTGTTCTAAAACCATTTATCTTATTTTATAATTTTTAAAACACTGAAAAACATGTCAAATATATGCTTTGAAATAACCAAAACTATACTAGGCCTATATTTACTCTATTTAGATCGAGCACCGGCCCTTTAGAATTTCGTGAATCACCAAAGACTAATTACATTTAATCAATTTACTTTGTACTCAGTTATCTCGAATCTCAAGCCCTCTCGAACACTTAATGTATGTCAATGAAATCGACTCACCGAGATAGAAAATGATCCCCTTTTCAAGCCCCTTTTAGTGTACTGGATTATTTTCATTTCGAATTCAAATTTAAGAACTTGAACAAAAATGGCGTGACATATATAGGTTATTTGCCAAGTCTTACTAAAAGTTAATGGTTAAAACTTTAAAAACTTTGCAAAACTGAAGGTTTGCGGCCGAGCTACGCGATGCCAAGTGTTTCCTATATACAAATAGGTAACTAGCATTTGGGCAATTCCCATGCAAACGTGGGAAAATGTGATTTCAACCAACCGCTTTAAATCGGATATCATATTTGACCATTTTTGATCGCATGCAATGGTACAAAAAGGTAAATCTATACTCTAAAAACACTCTGGTTAAATTTGGGTTAATTCAACCAGTACGGGGTTAAAAATCCACCTACACAAGTCTGGTTAAAAAAAATTAACCATTTTCCTGGTTAAAAGTCCAAAAAAGTGTACCAAATTTTTGTTGAATTGATAATTTTTAACCAGGAAATGGGTTAAATTTAACCAGAATGTGTTAGGTGGATTATTAACCCAATTCCTGGTTGAATTTAACCAGAGTGTTTTTAGAGTGTATATAAACCTAAAGCACGATGGGTTGGAACATGGCAAATTTGGTTTATTCCTTTTATTATTTATATAAATACCATTATAATATAAATATACCATATTTATAAATAATTAAAACTGGTTGAAGTGCATGCATGCATGCAAACCTGAAATTTTGCGATCTAGCTCAGGGAGGTTTCAATCATGAGTAATTACCAACCCTAATTGCCCATCAATGTATGAACGCTTTATATACCCGTCTTGTACTTAACGCGTACAAAGAATGTTCCATATTCCAGCTAACCCTGCATGAGCACTTGGTTAATAACAGCTATGGATCACCACGTCGAAGTGCATGGCAATTAGTTGGGACAGATAAAGCCGGTTTTCCATTAGGCGGAATTTTGCGCGCGGAGTGAAATTTTTCTTTGTCTTTTCTAATTAGTTCCACCCGAGAAATCACAAGACAAAGAAAAAGTCCGCTCCGCGCGCAAACTTCCGCCTAGTGGAAAACCGGCTTAAGGTATACTGGCATGGGTATAGGGAGGTGAAAAGAAAACGAAAAAAAGAGGGGAGAAAGTGGGGAAGGGAGGGCCGGGAAACGTTGAACCGAAAAGGAAAGCTTGGTTACCGAGGTTCTTGCCCTATATGCTAAACGCTGATACTGTATTTAGCGAAGCGAATCAACACACACTGCTAACTTGTTTTTATTGTTATATAAGCTGTAATATTTTGTAATTGTACAAAATAGTACAGCTTTAATGAATGTTATTAGAACAGGAAGCTACAGGGTTTATATATCACAGTCAATTGTTTAAATCCATTGAATGTTTAAATCGCATTAAAAGCCCGATCCCATTCACTGATGCATGGTGCTAATCGACCTTGATTATTCCAGGCGCACTTGAAAATTGATCAATATTCAATGTCGAAAAGTATTCAGAGTGTTTTATTAATACATTATGCCCACTATGTTAATTAGTTAGAAACATGTTTATAATTCTTTAGTTTCGTTGGATATGGAGTGGAAAGCGCCCAGAGCAAAGTTCCTTGGGAACGGTTGAAGAAGACGAAATTGAAAATAGAAAGACAAAATCAGCAGGTACCGCTTCATTTATCAAATATTGTATCAAAATATTTTGAAACACGCGACAGCGTTTTAGAACTGTAGTGCTTTTTCCAAATTCAAATTAATTCACCGTCATCGGAAAGGTGGCCATGGCGCTGCTCATTATATGCCGTTTAAGAGGAAAGTTTAAAATATGCATGGGAGAATGGGAGTTGGCAGTCATTCGATCTTAGTTATGGTGTACCAACACTATCATGCATGTATTGTATTGTATTGTATTGTATTGTATTTTATTGTATTGTATTGTATTGTATTGTATTGTATTGTATTGTATTGTATTGTATTGTATTGTATTGTATTTAAGTTAAGACATAGTTGGAACACTCGTCAAACTCTTATTTTGTTAATCTATAGTGCTTGAAATTTCCCTCACGGAGAAACTTAGCACAAACAAAGAATGATTTCAAATTGTCGAATAAATACTTAGGGACCGGTCATTATTTATGGCGGGGAGTGGCACCGAAGAGAAAGGGGTTGGGTAAACAAAATGTTGAGTGAGTAAAAGATTGGGTAAGTGAAAAACAAAACAACTAGTCAAGGGTTGGGTAACAAAAATTTGTTGCCATTTCCAAAGCATCACTCATTCAAATATTGAAGACTAAAAAGCAATGTCAACAGTCATATATCAATACAATGTGTAAGTCAATCAGAGTCATTATCTTGGACATTTTTCAGGAGGCAAATGGTGTCTCCAAAGAAAATACATGTGCAGACAACATGAAACTTTACATTGCAGAAAATTGCACAGTTATCAAACTCATGAAGTGTTAGAGGACATGTGAAAACAACTGATTGATATCCTTTTGTAAAATATTTGGCCAGGGGTGGGTATTTATTTTTAAATTGATATTTGAGGTTGGGTAAAAATATTTTTGACTTTATAATTGTTGGGTCAGCAAACTTTTTGCCAGGAAAAACATTTCTCTTTGGTGCCATCCCCCACCATGCATAAATATAATGACCCCACCATTAATTGTTTGTCAAAAATATTCACTGTGGAATGTACCCGGGTATTTTCATTGAATAAATTATCTAGACGGTGTCTACAATGTCAAAACATTGATAAATATAATTGAAAACCAGAAATCAAAGAAATATTTTCACTTCATTTGCCAATGAAATATATTACTTTAATTTAAATTAATGGTTTCTATATAAATTTCATTCGATGCATTTTCTCTTTTTAATATATGTGATCTTTTAATTCTATAGGAATTTTTACCGGAAAAACACGAGATATAAGGATGCATAGGTGGTGTTCAAGATGAGAGTTTAATATAACGCCATGCATGCAATTAATTTTTAACATCATTCTACAAAATTTAAATAGAAACAACCAATTAGTTATCCCCGCATCGTTCCGGGCGTAAGCCCGGGGCGAGGGTACTAATTCCGCCCGGCTATTTACACCCGGGGAAACGAAAGCATTAGCGAAGTCTAAAGTACATCAATGATCGCGGGCGTGACCAACCCTGAACGATATTGAGTGGGTGATCATCCTCACTGATCTCAAAATATGTGGCGGACTGTCATGAATAGCGAACACTGATTGGTCAATTTAAAATTTGTTGTTGTATGACAAATGACAACAGTGAAATAACAAACATTTCTTGCAAATCAGCAAATATATTGTGTTTTTGCCTCCGTTTTTGCAAGATTTTGCAAATTTCAAAACACCTTTTTGAGAGCCAAAAACCGTCTGAAAACGTCTAAAAGAATGGAGCAAAGTCGCCGGCGTTAATGAAGGTAAGTTTGTTTTTAATTTGATGTATTGTTTGCTTTTAGTTTTAAGAACATTTTAAAACGTTTTACGAAGCGTTTGTGTTTGAATTTTACATTAAATTGACGCTTATATTACGTATATAATAACATACCTAGCATATATATGTTTGAGAAATTGATCATTTTGTAATTAAAAGTGATATTTTGGGGGGATTTTTCAATTTTAACTAACTATTCTTATAATATCGTGTAACCATGACAATACTTCATGTTTGGAATTCAGAGGCGAGGGTTTTGCATGCATGTATTTTCTAGTTATATATTTAACAATTATACCATGAGCTCGAGTCGTATATGAGCTGATAGCCGACGAGGTATAAGTAGCACCGAGTCGGATATCAGCCATATACGACGAGAGCGAATGGTATAATTGTTAGCCATTAATTGAAGCAATAATTAATTATCCTCTGTTACAATGTCTTGACAATTTGTTCTCCCAAAAACCGCTTGGCCTTGAAAATTTGAAATACTTTACTGTTTTACAACTCGAAGACGAAGTGAAAGAAATGGTTTTAGGACCGATATATCTCACAGAAAAGCTCAGATATATTATACAGATGTTTGGTAGTATAGTAAGTGCTTGTTGACTGCAAATTCATTTGTCTTTCGTTGCAAACTTTTCTGAACAATTTATATTCTCAATGAACATGTTTTTTTCGCTGTTGCATGTTTCGGTATTAATTCTTTAAAAAACTTGTATTTAAACTAATTTCTATGTAATAAATGTATTTTGCTAACCTGTCAAATTTTTTTGAGAGTTTTTCCTTGTATATACTATTATCTTTCTCAAAGCGAATATTTTCATGTAGTTTTGGACCGCCATCTTGTTTTTCGCTAGTCGGCGTATGTATGAGCTAGCTGATATACGGCGAGTAATTCGACCAATCAGATTGCAGAACAGCTCATATACGGTGAATGACTATATATATATATATATATATAAAGCTTCAAACCGAAAATAAATTTTATTAAACTTCAAATAAATAAATACATATTGAAGTAAAGATACGTTTCGGAGCACAGCCCCTTCGTCAGAAACGAGATAAGTTCAAATCCATATCCTTAAATACTTTCGGCCCAATCCTATAATTAACATACACTAATAATATATATAGACTTGCATTAATATTCCTCCCTCAAATTTAATCCCAGTGGTACATATGTATTCAATTTTTCAATCCAAAAACTTTCCCTCTCTGTAGGTTTATTAACATCCGTGATATCGATAATCTGTGCTTTAAAATAATTAAGACCCGAATGGCCCCTCCTCAAAAAAATGTTCATACAAATGTTGACCACAGAAACCTCTTTGGCCCTTAGAAAATCTATTAAGCGAACTCTTGTGGTTATTAAATCTTTTACTACATTTTCCGCAAGTAATTACATAAACCACCCCCTGAGAGTTACAATCAAAGTGATGGTTAATGTGAAACTTGCGCAGTTGTACTGCATGTACTTTGCCGGAAAAGTATCCGCTACCACGATGGAATCACAAACTTTGAACTTCCCCCC